TGTCTAATAGTGACTAGTCTGCATTACTGGAGGAGTCACATGAGCCGTTACCTTTTCTTTTGAGGATCTCTCCTCTCAAGTGGGGTCACTGATTTCCATTTCCACTTTTTATCAATGTTAACTGTGTAATTTTTTGTAGTTATTTATTTTTTATTGCTTCATACTTGATATCAGCCTTTTGGTGTGATCTAACCATTACATTACTGCAGTTTTTTACGGCAATCTGCTCATTTGGAGAGTGTAATAAGAGATAAATTATTAGCCCAGCAACCTGATGCTTATGAGTGGTTTTGGTCTGAGCAAGTTCCAGCTGTGGTGACCACTTTTGTTAATTACTTTGAAAGGGACCCACGCTTTACTGCCGCTACTGCAGTGTATGTAGTTGCCTTTCATTACTGAATGTAAATTCTTATTAATTGCATGATAATTGCGAATTACTTTTGTAAAATGATGTTATTTTTTTTCCTCTTCCAGGTATGGAAAAGGAATGTTGTTGGGTTCAGGGAATGCAAGTGACATATCACTCCTCATGCTTGCACTGTGTTGCATTTCAGCTGTCACAGAGCTTGGCCCACCCAGAATTTCTTGTCCACAGTTCTTCTCCATGATTCCAGAGATAACTGGTAGATTGATGGACTTGCTGGTTGATTTCATTCCTATAAGCCAAGCTTACCATTATATAAAGGATATTGGATTACATAGAGAGTTTCTTGTCCATTTTGGTCCTCGAGCTGCGGAATGTAGACTGACAAATGATTTTGGAATGGAAGAGGTTGTATTCTGGGTGGGTCTTATACAGAATCAGCTGCAGAGAGCTGTAGATAGGGAGAAAATATGGTCGAGACTCACTACATGTGAAAGTATTGAGGTCAGCACTGAAATGTCCTCTAGGTTCTCCTATAAAATATGGTTGGCTCGCATATAATGTTAGTATACTGTACAAAGTAGCTGATAATGTTGATATGCAAAATGCTAAAATTCATACGGATGGTGTAAGCACATGTTGAAGATCCTGAAGTAGATGTAATGTTGACATGCAAACTAAAATTCATAGGGATGGTGTAAGCACATGGCTTGCATCCAGGAAAGTGTTGCTCTCCTTAAAATAAGAGCAACGATCACATTGAAAGTGCAGTGATTTAGTGGTTCAAGTTTTTAATGTTAGTAATATAGTCGGGACATATATTCTCATTCAATCCAAGCTTCACTTTGGGGAGTCCCCAAAATTTCCCTATTCAAAGCAAACAAATAACTTCTTTTGTCCTCTTTTGTTTTGGTCCTTTATGCTCTATAGGTTCTATTGCATAAGCAATCTCTAATCCTTTGAGCCTTGAATAGAAGTTGAGGGGGGCACTTAGATTGGTTTGATGGAGATTGAGGGTTAGATTTGTGGAAGAAGCGAGGGGGAGAACTAGAGAAAATTCTACTCTCTAAAAAATGTAATATAATTGTTGTACAGAGTTTACATAATGACTGAAAAACCATAACTACATGGTCTCCTTGAATTCAAGTTTCAAACTCCATTGTTTAAAAAAATAAAAATAATAATTTAGATGACTGAATTGCTGGAAAATTATATGTACATGATAATTGACATATAATATTGTGGATTCATTTTAAATTTATGCTGCAGAACTGATGAAATCACAAATAAAATTCTCCTAATATGATTAAACTCTGAGAATTCTGGATATGTTATATTTTTGTGATGGAAGTGCTGGCAAAACATTGAATGAAGAATTAATAGAAAGAAAAGGCTTAGCTATTTTTCTTAATTCTACTGCTTCTATTCTTAAATCTAAAAAGGGATGTAAGACTGCACCTTACGTTTAAGGTTGAAGAAATTTCTTTTATTTGCACTGCTTCAATCTCATATTGGATTAATATTACTTTTGTATTCTCCCAATACTTGTATTACATATTGTATATACCATATATCTGATTTAGATGCTTGTTTATTCCTTTCTAATTATTTAATGTGTTTAAATTTGTATTATATACCTTGAACATTTCATCTATAATTATTTCTTCATGTTAGAATAGGCTTCAGTTCTAAACGAGAAATGTGAGTAAACATTCTGAAACATGCCAATTGAATTATCTATTTAAGGATCTCAAATTTGCTTATACATTTTAAAACTTTTCTATCCATGCTCTTGCAATTATTTTATTATGTCAAAGCTGCTCTTTTCTTGTTTTGGTTTAGTTAATACTGATCTCTGCAGGTGTTGGAGAGGGATTTGGCTATATTTGGATTCTTCATTGCTTTAGGAAGAAAAAGCCAATCCTTCCTATCTGCAAATGGCTTTGATGTTTTAGATGAACCTATTCAAAGCTTCGTAAGGTGCAAGTTTTTTATATTTATTTATTTCTACATATGTTTTTTTAGTTACTATTTCTTGCTAAAAGTTTTGTAGTGCATTTAACTATCTTGCCTCTTTGAAGCAGGTATATTATTGGAGGCAGAGTTTTGATATTTCATTTTTTGATTAGTACTGCTGAAAATTTTGCGGTGCATTTAATTATCTACTCTTTTTAAAGCAGGTACCTTATTGGAGGCAGTGTGTTATACTATCCTCAGCTTTCCTCAATAAGTTCTTATCAACTGTATGTCGAGGTCAGAATGCTTTTTAGATATATCATCTCATAAGTGTTATGGTTTAAAATCTGAAAGTATGATCATGCCATAGGTAGTTTGTGAAGAGCTGGACTGGCTTCCTCTTTATCCAGGCAACATTGGTACCCCAAAATTCTCCCATGGTCATGGAAGTAAAACAAAAAGTCCTCCCAATGCTGAAGCCATCCCCAAAGTATTAGATGTTTGCTCTCACTGGATGCAGAGCTTTATTAAATACAGTAATTGGCTGGAGAACCCTTCTAATATCAAGGCAGCAAGATTTCTCACTAGAGGGTATTTAATTAACCTCATGGTTCTTTGATGATTGAAATTAGTGAGCTGCATCCCCAGTAAATAATTTCTAATGATTTGCTTTCTATTTTCAATGTTCTAGGCACAAGAAGTTAAGGGTGTGCATGGAAGAACTGGGGATACAAAAGTAAGTTGAATGAGGCAAAAACTGTGATATAGTCTCTCTCTCTCTCTATATATATATATATTAATGTATATATATATATATGTATATCTCATGCGCATGCACGCACACACAAATGCATTTGCACATGCATACCCATGAGCACACAACTCTATCTCCTGTTTTAATGGTGAAGCGCACTTATGGCATTTAAGATTGGTGTTCGTAGTGGTACCTAGTCTGTGTCACTATAAAACCATCTAAAATAAAAACTATGGGCAAGGATTCCCGAAGTTGCTATAATCACTATCTGATAGATATGACCATAATTTATTACCGCATCATTTTTCCAAACTACATTTGAAACTCATTGCTTTGTTTTAAGACGACTTCACGTAAAGACGTGTTCATCTCAGTACAAAAGATGCGTATGACAAATCATATGATTCACATGGTTTTAGAAGCCTGAAAAGATAAAAATATTATGGGATTTAGGGGAACACAGTATATATCTGGTTTAATGCTAATATTTGGTTCTGTTTGTTTCCGGGGAAGTTTAGCTCTCATTGCTTTACTACAGATATAAGTTATAAAATGATGGGGAGCATCATATACTAGCATAAGGTAACTATAAAACACTTAATTTGGATTTCTTTGAAATCAGTTTCACTTTGTTTCTGAAAGATTTTATCCATGGATCCAAAAGACTAGCCAATCTACGAGTGGATCATTTCTTAAACATTTTAACTTCAAAAAGATAAATTTTAATTTTTTTTTTTCTCATGATTTTTACACGGTTTAACCTAGAGACTTTTTAACTTTAAAAAAATCGAACATTAATATATTAATGTTTTGATTCTATCTTATTTTTATAAATAAAAAGTAAAAGACCTTCAAAATAGGTTGGTGTATTTTAAGTATTTGTGTGATTGTATCAGCTCATGATTAAAGAATTGAAAGGAAAACTTAGGAGTTGAAGCATTGGTCGAGAATCGAGACTTGAGAGATGCAAAGGTCTGGAAACACAATTACAAATATATATTTAATTTTCTTATTGTAAAATAATGGTTTCATTTTTTTTTTTGATAAGTAAGAAATGTATAGAAAGCGCTCAAAAGGGGAGCGCGTCCCAAGGGAACAACAAACCAAAAACATACGCTAAGCCTTCAAAGAGGCCAAAAAATCGACAATCTCTTCCCTAGATCTAAGATCTCTCCTTGAAACCCAACAAAAAAGAATGGAGAGAATAGAGAACTTAAGAAAAGAAATAGTCCTCTCCTTTCCCTCGAAATATCTCCTATTCCTCTCGAGCCAAATACACCACCAGACACAAAGAGGCGTAGCCCTCCAGGCATCTCGGATATGAGCCCCCATTGAGTAACCTCTTTAGGCCTCAATCAACCCTCTAACAGATCCAGGCATGACCCAGTGAATCCCAAAAAGACCAAGCATCAAAACCCAACAGTCCCTAGCCATGGAGCAATGCAACAACAGGTGATCCACCACCTAATTCCTCCTTCTCAAATTATCCTGGGTTAAGATTTTACCCAAAACAGAGGTCCAAGCAAAGAAGGCCACCTTGAGAGGAGCCTTTGAGCGCCAAACTGACTTCCAAGGGAAAAAATCTCCAGGCTCATCTGAAAGACACCTGAAGAAGGACCAAACATCAAAACGGCCCTGAGAGCCAGAGGCCCAAATCCAACAATCAGAATCCGAAACCATAACATCTTGCCGATAAAGCAACTCCAAAAAACAAGTGGCATCCTCAATCTCCCAATCCTGAAAAAGCCGCTTGAATCGAACATCCCAAACCAGTCTCCCGCTATCAAGTTGATAACAGTTGATCATGGCCTGCCTATCCGTAGCAATCCTGAAGAGCCGAGGGAAAGCGAGAGCAAGAGAAATATCCCCACACCAAACATCCTCCCGAAAACTGATCCTCCTACCGTTCCTGAGTCTAAACCGAACATGTTTGGAAAATAATGAAAATTCATCCCAACCCTTCCTAATGAACTTCCAAACCCCCACTCCCCTAGGGCCACGCACCTCAAGAGAACACCAATCTCCTCTACTCTCCCCATACCTACACGTAATAACCCTCCTCCATAGCCAATGTCTCTCCACCCCAAACCTCCACAACCACTTCCCAAGGAGAGCTTTGTTGAAAGGCAACAATCTCCTAAACCTCAAACTTCCAAATCGGCCTACAGACTTGGTCCCAACGAACCAAATGAAACTTGAACTCCTCCCCTCTACCCCCCACAGAAAATTCCGCTGCAATCTCTCAATCCTCTCAGCCACAGAAGAAAGGATTTGGAAAAGAGAGATAAAATAAGAGGGAAGGCAGGAAAGGGTGCTCTTAATCAGAGTAACCCGACCCCCCTTGGAAATGTACTGTTTTTTCCAACCCGCCAGCCTCCTCTCAAACCTATTCACGATAAGATCCCACACCTCCACACACCTCGAAGGAGCTCCCAAAGGCATCCCTAAGTAAGAGATGGGAAAAGTGCCAGTGCAGCAGCCAAGGATACTAGCAAGCATAGCAATATCAGGGACCTCCCCAACTAGCACAAAAACATTCTTACCAACATTCACCTCAAGGCTGGAGACAACTTGGAACCAAATTAGAACAATTAGAACGCATCTTAAATAGTGAAGTTGGGACTCATTCGCATCACAAAGCACGAATGTGTCATCCGCAAACATCAAGTGAGAGATCTCCAACTGACTAGCAACATCTCTGCCCACCCGAAAACCTCTCAAAAAACCCAACTCCACAGCCCTCTTCAACAATCTACTAAGGGTCTCCATCATAAAGAGGAACAAAAAAGGGGAAAGCGGATCCCCCCGTCTCAAGCCCCTCGAGCTAGAAAAAAAACCCGTCAGAGCTCCATTCACAAGAATAGAGAACCGAGCACTGAAGATGCAAAAATGAATCTATTTTCTCCAACGAACACCAAATCCCATCCTCTCCATCAGGTAAAGAAGGAAGGACCAACTTACATGGTCATACGCTTTCTCAATGTCAAGCTTACACAGAACACTCGGAACTCCACTACGTAATCTGGAGTCCACACACTCGCTAGCAATAAGAACTAAGTCCAGAATTTGGCGACTTCCCACAAAGGCGTTCTGAGAGTCAGAGATAATGCCATCCAACACTTCCTCAATCTAAAAGCAAGGACCTTGGCAATTAAATTGTAGATGCATCCTACCAAGCTAATAGGGCGCCACCACCCCCCCCCCCCCCCCCCCCCCCTCCTTTTGGGAATGAGAGCAACGAAAGTGGCATTCAAACTCCTCTCAAAAGAGCCCTGAGCATGGAAAGCATGAAAAGTACCCATCACCTCCCCTTTCTAACCTCCTCCTCCTTGCTTAACCACACCCCTTCCACTCGAATCCTCCCAATATGATTACCCCTCCTATGAGCATTGGCCAATCGATGGAAAAACTTCGTGTTCTTGTCACCCTCCTTAAGCCACAAAGCCCGAGATTTCTGTGTCCACGAAATGCCCTCTATGATAGCAATATCAGCAAATTCCGCTTGACACTGCACCCTCTTAGCCTTCAAGGAATCCGCCAGGGCCTCCTGACCCTCCATCCAATCAATATCAGCAATCTTAGACAATACCCGATTCTTCCTCCAAACAAGATTCCCGAACACCTCTTTGTTCCAAATCTTGGGACAATCCTTAAGAAGACAAAGGTTACCTGCGAGCGTATAGCTTGGGGTGCCAACCACCCCAAACCCTTCCCACCAGGAACGGACCCTCCCAAGAAAGCCTTCAGCACGAAGTCACATATTCTCAAATCTGAAAGGAAAATGACGACTGCGCAACCCACCACAATCCAACAACAATGGAACATGGTCTGAGATAGGACGAGCCAAAGTAGCCTGAACAACATCGGAAAACTTCTCCTCCTATTCTTCCAACACAAGAAAACGATCCAGCCGAGAGAGAGTAGGAGGAGAGCGACCACTAGACCAGGTAAAGGGTCCACCCTTCAAAGGCAAATCCACAAGCCTAGGATCATCAATAAACGACAAGAAGAACTCCATGTTAGCCGTCCACCTCCCCCCCGTCGATCTCTCAAAAGGAGAACACACAACATTAAAATCCCCTCCAATGCACCACAGTAACAAGCATCTCCTCTTGATAACCCCCAGCTCCTCCCACAACAAAGGACGAACACTGTCCTCCGAAGGCCCGTAAACTCCAGAAAAGACCCAATGAAAACCATCCTCCACCAAAGAGAGAACGCACGAAACAGAGAAACTCCCGATCTGAGAATCCACCAAAGAGACCTATCTGTTATCCCACATAATAAGAATTCCACCTGAAGAACCACAAGCATCCAAGGTGCACCACTCCACAAATCTCCCACCCCAAAGGCTCCTCACAATCAAATCCGTCATCGAAGCAATTTTAGTTTCCTGCAAACGCACCACATAACCTCCCCCTTTATTAATTGCCGCCTTCATAACTTTTCTCCTCTACGGGTCATTGAGACCCCAGATATTCCATGATAAGATTCGTAGCATCATAGGGAAACAGTAGAAAATGCATTCCCTCCACTCCTCCCACTGTCCTTCTCCCTGGGCCCCCTCATCCTCTTTCATACGTAACAAACTCATTGGGACTCTGCACCTCCTTCCCTCCTAGCCCATCCTGAACCCCACCCCTGCTTCCCCCCCTATCCAAAATCTGAGAATTCAGCACATCATGGAACAAACTCAACACTTCTTCCATCCTACCCTCAAAAGATACACCCAACAAAGAACCCACCTCCCCACCCTTCTCCCTAAACCACTCCTCAAAATCTTCCATACCTTCAACAACTGCAGCACCCCCTACATCCTTCCCCCTGCAGTCCAACCACAGCCAAAGGAACAACCATCTCCACATTCGGCTCAAAACCATCCCATTGGACTGGCCCCTTATCTCTATCAAACGAAGAATATGAGACATCCTCCCATTCCTCAAGAACATAATTGGAAGGAGAACCAGAAGACCGCGGAGACCCAAACTCCTCTTTAGTCACAAACCCGTTCACAACCATGTGAGCCTACAGCTCCTTTAACAAAGTAGTAGCGGAAACCTCGTCCAGATTAATCCACAAATCACGCCTAACACATACAGAATCTCCCTTGCAGGGCATCTTGGGAAACCGAGAGGAATTCATCGAAAGGCCTTGCCCTCCAAAATGACTCAAATTCACGTCCACCTCCGACTCCATCTCAGAAATCGTCTCCAACTTTTTAGAAACAGAGGACATTACTCCCTTTTCAAGCCCCGAGCATCGTCTCGACACCCCATAAGAAGGGGAACAAAAGGAAGAAGAGGAGTGATTCAGAAGAGAGAGATCAGGCGAAAGGTTGAGCATACCCGGATCAGAATTGGAATCCTTACGCTTCACCCACTTCTGCTTCTCCTTACGCGTCCATCTTTTGCAAACAACTGGAAGAAGAATCTTCTTCTTAAATCGCCGACGGTGACCTTGCACAGGTAGCTTAGCATGCCGTCCATTATTGAAGTACTCTTTAATCGGGCCCGAAGGCTGTGTCTCTAAGTCATCCTTAAAAGAAGACAACGGCCCAAACCTATTACCCACAACCAGCTCAGAGCCACCAGACCCAGACCCCAGCCCAACCTTTAACTCACGGCCCAAACCAGAGGACATGCCCAAAGAGCACCCAACATCCACAACTTGGGCCTCCTCCACTCTAACCGGTCCAAAAGAACTTGAATCAAAACTGCAATCCACTGAAGACCCAGCAATTGGCGCAAGAGAAGAAGGAACACCAACACAAGGAACAAGGCCCCCAATCTCCGGCCCAACAATGGGCCCATCATTAGAAGAGGCTTGCTTAGCTTTTCGGGCCTGATAATTTGAAAAAGAGTTTGAAAAAAACGTGGATACAACTGTTTCCTTTTGAGAACGGGCAAACCCTGCCTGCCAACCACGTGTCCTTTCCCCATGCCTTCCCCACCCACGCGCCCACGCGCCATAGGAACGTGGAAACCACCTCGCGTTCTTCTCCGATCCCCTTCTGCAAATCCGGTCGACGACCATGATTCCCGAAACCTCCACCCCTCTGAAAAAACCGGAGACCTACTTGCCGTCCACGATCCTACAACGAAGGAAAGCCTTCTCTTCTCCTCTGATTGAAGATCCGTTTGAAACACTCCGTATTCTGGATCCAGAGCTCATTTCTCCACACCTTCCATTTTTGAAACTCAGCTAAACCCTTCTGTCCCATAGACTCCCATCTCAGCCACTCCTCCTCCTTTAACAAGTGTGAGCCGTCACCACCTATCCGTCGTTGGGACAAGCTCGGGGTGCTTCTCCTCCCATATAGCCACTTTGTAGCAGAAACTGTCATCGTGAATGAAGATAAAAGGAGGGCAAACACGCCCCACAGAAACAGTGATGCGAACCTTTTCTGCATCCAAGGATTCATCAGCATCCACCCAAACAAAGCCACCACAAAGGTCACCGACTGTCACAAAGAGGGCATGACTCTAAAGGTGAAGAGGGAGGCGGTACAACGTCACCTTCTTCAGCCCCTGTTCTTTCAAAACCTCAGAACAACCCACTCTGAAACTCCAAGTGTCCACACGAAGGGTGGCCTTACCCCAGTCACGACGACCCTCATTGAGCACACATGCTACCTCCGCCAAAGAAGGAAGACGAAAAAGGAACAGAGAATCCGGCAAAGGTGAAACCACCACCTCCGGGGAGACCTTCCAAGCCCGAGATGCCCAAGCAGCAATCTGCCCCCTATCACCCACATCCTTGTCAAACTTACCCAGCAGACAAGACTGGAGATCCTCTTTCCTTCGGCCAACCGATTCATCATTCAAAAAAATCGAAGGTCCTCTGTATGTAACTGCAGATCTTATAGACCTGCCCTGAAAAAGTCGAGGCAAACGCGCAACCTCCAAGAAAGATCGCATAACAAAGAGAGAAAAAAAAAAGGCAAAAAACGATCCGAAGAGGAACAAAAGAAAAAAGGCCCCAAAGAGAAAGAGAAACGCGAAAAAACGAGTAGCAGAGGATTTCACCGGAGTTTATGACTCTGGTGACTGGTCGGAATAGCAGATTCCAGCTGCATCTCCACTACCAGACCCACTCAAACCCCAAAACTTGTGCAGTTCATTCTTTCAATTTAGTTTTGAAACTTAATGTGCATTTATTTACATAAGACAGTAGTCACTAGCATACTCTTTCTCAAAGACGTGTGATGTAACGTATTATGTTTTACATTTTCACTATGAAGCATTTAAAATTTGAGAACTAAGAGTTGGAGCTTGGAAATTTTAGTCAATTAACTTCATCAATTAACTAAGAAATGTGAACGCGACAAAATTTGCATTTGATATGAACTTTGGGTAATAGTGCATGCCATTATAGCAATGCTACTCAAGACGGCATTTTCCCAGCTAGTTGGGTCGGCTATGTGAATTATAATTTTTCATTCTGCTCTAAGGCACAGCCTCAGTCAAACAATATGTTATAATATTTTTCTTCAATTACTCTACCCATGTACCCATGTTTTGGCATTTTTCTTCCCCCATCATTACCCGAGTCCTAGACTATGTCAATCGTCCTAATTGATTCACTCACTGGTACTCTTTGCACTTGTTCAATCCATCTTAATGAAATTTCTTTAATTTTATCTCCAGTGGGTGCTACTACAACCATTTCATGAATGTGTTCGTTTCTTATTCTATCATATTTACCCTTGCCATACATCCATCACAATATTCACATTTTTGCCACACTAATTTATGCATATGTAGTTTTTTAGTTTCCCAACATTTTGTACCGTAAAGAATGACTGATTTAATAACTGTTTTGTAGAGCATCTCTTTGAATCTTAGAGAAATACACCTATCACACAATATTCTAATCACATTCCATTTAACCCACCATGTCTTGCTTTTTTTATTAACATTATCTTCAATTTCTCCTTCATTGCGAATAATTGAGCCTAAATAGCTCAAATGTTCACCTTTTGGTATATCCTGATCATCAATCTTCACTATATCCCTCTTTTTATATCTAGATTTCTTTAAGTTACACTCCATATACTTTAGTTTTTTTTCTTTTAATCTTAAATCCTTTTAATACTAAAGCTTACCTCCATACCTCCAATTTAGCTCTTATTCTTTCTATAGTTTCATTGATTATAATATTATCATCAACCAATAGCATATATTTTGGAATATATTGTTGGAATCTCATCGTGAATGTGTCCGGTCTTTCCATCCCTTAATTTAGAAGTTTATATATAATCTGCTTCCCATATTTTGTATCTTATTTAGAAGAGAGATCACCACATTGTTGTCAGGGGCTTATTACTTATATAATGTTAGGGGCTTATGTGTAATTTCTGAAACTTGTTAGTATAAATACAATGTGGTGGAAGGATGAAAGTATTCTTTTCATTCTTTCTCTCTTTCCCCACCTCTCTCCCTTTCTCTCCACTCTTCCTTCTCTTCTTCTTCTTCATCTTCTTCTACTTTAATTGCTGTTTTGATTATCTCTTAAAGACAACACACGTCTATATTTAGTTTACTGCCTTAAATTTCCTTTTGGGTATTTTTGTAGTGCAGATGCCATGCGTATAATATCAGAATATGATTTCTTTTTCCTTTTGTTAATACGAAAAAGTTGGTCACTCTTGCAGACAGGTGTGATAGATGGAACTTGGCTTATTTAGTTATGAAGAGTGCTTAAACTAAACTCCCAAAACTATCATCTCATGCATGATATTTTTTGACCTGGTTACTGAAGTCGGAAAAATCAAACCTGAAAAGAGAACTTGCCATAACTAAGGCATTCCCAATTTCACTAAGTGATCTCTTGTAAATAACTGAGATTTCTGTCTCGCACAAATTTAACATGGTGAGAGGTGGTCAACGGGTTGGACAAAATCTGACATCAATCCAATTCAATCTGATTATGATTCTGATATAGATCCGTAAATTTAGCAAAAGATTGGTTTGTAGTTGGAGTTGACCAAATAAAGCATATGTTACGATAAATTCCTACTTGATTGTCCCCAAGGTATTTATATGGTTGTGTTGTTTGCTTGTAATGCATTTTTAATAATCATGAATATTGATCGGGTTATGCAAGGTTTTTTTTAAAGATTAGTAGTTGCAGAAAGTACTTGTTTAAGAAAATATGATGCAGGACTGAATTGATTGAAAGCACTGCTAAGCAATCTGTTGAGAGGAGTAGATCTGGAAAAGAGCCAGATTCTTTTGATAAGGTAGTCCTCAATCTCTACAAAAGACAGGTTTGTTTTGAAGTGCATTATTCTATTTGGATTGTGTTTATTTGTAAATGACAATGCCACTCTTCTCTTACTGATTGGACAGTGAAAAATAGGTGGTGTATTTTTTTGTTTGTGCAGCTTAGCTTGTTTCTCTTTTTCATTTCAACTTTAATCAATACTCCGATTTCCAGCAATCTAGAAAGACTTTCACCATTGGGCTGACATCCTAAGGGATTGAAAATTGATGTTATAGTTTTCAAATAACCCTTTGTAAGCGTGGCTTTCACAGTTGTGAATCCTATGAGATTACTTCTAAGCTGTCAATCTTGTAGAACATTCCAATGAAGATGTTTTCATCTTCTCATTGGTGCACTGTATCACAAGATGATTCCCTAAGAGCAGCATCACTTTGCTGTAAATTTGGCGGGATATTAAAGCGGTCCATAGGTTTTATCTTACATTGGTTCCTCCTTTTATGGAAAGTCAGTTTCATTAGTAGTGAGATAAGGAACTCAATAGTTAGGACAGATGGAGGATGAGTTGGATAGGAGTAGGAATTCAAAGGTTAGAACTTCGGTAAACCCTTCTGATGGTGCAATGGCACGGGCTTTTGGTTTTAGGCACTGGAAAGTGTTGAAGAAGCTCTGATAAGGCTAGAGGAGTTGCTTCAGGAGCTGCATGTATCAAGCTCCAATTCTGGAAAAGAGCAATTAAAAGCTGCTTGTTCTGATCTTGAGAGCATAAGGAAACTTAAGAAAGAGGCTGAATTTCTTGAGGCATCTTTCAGAGCAAAGGCAGCTTCTCTTCAGCAGGTACGTTTCTCCAGTTCATTTGATTTAAGGAATAAAATGTTCCCTAGAATGATTTGAGTGCCAAGTGCTGCACACCTGAAATATCTCGCCTTTCTCCTGATGTAGTAAATTATTTGTTGTTATAGAATTTGTGGAGTTTTGTTTTGGATGAGTTGGAAAACAATTGGCTTTTTCCTGTATTGTTTTGATGCAAGAATTTTCTCATTGCTACCTGGGACTTTGTTATCTTTTGCTATTACGAATAAATTAAATTATAAAAATAAATATTTTTAATTGTAAATGCCAGATTATTTTCCCTTACAAGAATCAAAAACTGGTTGCTGATCAATCTGTATCTGTTGGATATGGAGTTTGCGTCAGTCTGCTTCTCATATATGTTTACCTATGTATGTATGTATCAAGTGTATATCCACATACAACAAACACTGAGAAATGATTTCCCATTAGATGAATAAAAAACAGGCCATCATTTTAGGCTTCCATATCCTCTTGTAACTGTTTAGCCACTCCATTGATGCAACACCAATTGCCTTCAATACAGAGAACTCAACTCCTGTGATCTAGGAGCAGATCCAAGTATATTGTTAAATGGAAAGGTTCATTTAGTTGGTAATGAGCTTTTGTTTTAACTACAGTGCATGCATATCTATGACAGCAGTGAGTCCGGATCCTCTGGTACTGCATCCTGCGGTCCACATCACACACACACACACACACACACGTGTGAGCGGTCACGCAAGTGTGTGTGATGTGGACCGCCGGATTGCAGTACACTTGATCCACTCATGACACAATTATGCTTCTTTTTACCATAAAAAAAAGAGTATGTGTTGGTTTGTCCACCATGATATGCAAACTAGATGACAATTTAAGTTGCTCAAGCTCGGGTTAGTAGAATTGTGTTAATGCTCAAACTCGGCTTGAGCTCGACTAGACTTTCCCGCAATCCTTGCTTGAGCTCAGAGCAAATTTTGACCTAAAAACCTGAGGAGGAGCTAAGCTGGGTTCCTCTCGGCTCGGGACAACCAAGTGTAAATTTTGAATATGAATTCTTTCTATCCAGTCATAACAAAGGAAAAGTACAGATGTTTTTAATCCTTTCAAGCTGAAACTTTCTGAGCATTTTCACCACAATGCAAAATTCCAAACAGCTTCAATTGTGACATCGTATGACAACTACTAGAAGTTTTGATAAAGATTATCGATGATTTATTTTCCATGAATGTTTGGTTACATTCAAGTTAAGATTGTCACATCATATGAAAACTCCTAGAAATTTTTGATAAAATTTACCTGTGTTTTTTTTTTTCTTTTTTTCTTTTTTTTTTTTTTTTTTTTCTTTCCCCCAAGAGGGTTGGTATCTTTTTACCTCTACAACTCAACTCAACAAATCCCTTTTCTCGACTTTTTTGAAGTCGGCTACATGAATCCGATTTTGGCCCTGTACTATCTGTTAAGATCACGAGTTCATATATAAGTGACACTACAATGCCTTTTTTATGATGTACTGAATTCCTCAATATCACTCTTTTCTGTGGACCATTTCACTCTCTATCGTTTTAATAGTAGTTATTGGTGCGCATGAGAGACCCCAAATTTTTTTTTTTTTCTTTCTCGAAACTCTTTTTATGGTATTTATTAATGGTTAATAATGGGTAATTTTATATAGGAAAATCAAATCTAAGTGGTATCTCTTCTACCTCCCAAAGGGGATGGTGAGGGTATCGAGTTCCCGTAGGACAAATGGATGCATGAGTTTCTTGCCAATGAATTTTTTTTTTCTTTTTTCTTTTTTTTCTTTTTTTTCTTCCTAGCCCCCTCCAAATTTGTTAAAAAAATACTACTATTATTTATGGTTACTTATCTATGGTTATTAACGGGTAGTTTGCAAATGAAATTACTATTGTAACCATTGCCACAACATATTTGTCCTTCAATTAATATATATACACATATTTAATTGTTATGAATTCAATCTCAACAATCTCATTTATTGGCTGTCAACTATTCTCCTCTCTCTTTTTTTCCCCCTTCTCATATCATTCTGATAGACATGGTCGGTAAAAAAAAAATCGTCACAATCTATTTTATTTTATTTTCAAAAATTCTAATTTATACTTACCCCTCCACACACACACGCAACAACAAATGAAATTTTACTGGCTCCTCCCCTGCGCTATGAGCAAACTATTTAAAGTCTATTTTTCTTCCATTTTAAGGCTCCAATAGTGCTCCCTCCTACTGCCTTATGAATGTGCTTATTTCTAAATTCATCTTTTCTGATTTTTTTTACACATCCAATCTCAGTGTGTGCATTTTTGACAATCCTCATCTATGAAAAATGTTGTTCTTTAATTGTCTAGTAATTTTATATCCCATAGAGAGTGATCCTATTCATAATTTTTATAGAATCTTCTTTGTCAATTTTGGTATGTGTAGTTAGATCACACAATTTCTTATAAGACAAACGAAGCAATGGGATGCTCATGTTTGGTCCATTTGACCATACATGCAACTAATTAAGTTTTGAGTTCTGAGCAACTTTTAACAGAGTCAAGATCAGGCTGAGCTCAAGCTGCTTGGCTTGTTTTTACATCCGCCAAACACCCTACCTCCAAGAAAAGAGCTGAGTTTATTATTAGAGTTTTCTGATTAAAGCATCATGCAATAACATTAATTTCAAATTCTGATGCATGTAATGATATATTCGAATGCAAAGAACCCGAAGCATGCTTTTTTCCAGAAAATTGGGCAGAGTATGACGTTTTCTTTCTTGCCAAGCCCACATAAACTGCTTTCTAAAGTTGCTTTCTTCCCTCTGGTAGAGGGAACTATAAAATTTTATTTTCATTAATATTATGTGTGCATTTTGTTATTATGCATATTTTGCCCATGTTCCCTCTCTCTTATTTGTACTTTTTGTGTTGTGCAACTAGGGAGAGTGATAATCGTTCCTCATCTTCTACTGCTGAGGAGCAACAATATTCTAGAAGGAAGAACAGCAAGGGTGTTGATGTAGTTCTGGATAGGAGCAACAGGTATGAAGCTTCTTGTGTTAGTTTGAGCTCTTACGTACTTGCCTGCAACTTCATTTGAATGTGCAGTACTTTTATGGTAAATCTGGTTCTTTCTTCTATTGGTTTTATCTTATAATTTTTGCTCCTCAGATTTGTCAATAATTCTTGTAGATTATGGAACTTCTTAGTGTGCTATCCAACCAGGAAGCCTGCCCTCGGGTTATCCACTGCAGATGGAAGTGTATGCCTTAATCACTCTATGGATTATTAATTGCTTGTATATTTCTATAAAATTAATGTCAGTAGCAATGTACTTCTAAGCTGTAGTGCTGGCTCAAATGTAGAAAAGGTTCAGTGTGGAATCAAATGCCAGTGGTATTTTCTATTTTAGTGGAAGCCGGTCATTGAAACTAGGCAAATCTGGTTGAACAGCCAATGCTACAAGTTGCATACAGTAATGAAACACACACACACACACACACACGCATATATATATGATAAGTAAAAGTTCATTAAAAAACCCTCAAGAGGGGACAGTACTGAAAGATATATGTACATATTAGATATATGCATTATGTAATCAACATATACAAGATTTCCTGACACGTCTTCACTTGCTTTTGTGCCACCTGCTTCCCTTGAAAGGAGAGGAAAAACAATTTCTGTTTGCTTGACTCCCTTGCAACAGGCTAAGATGGCTACATACGCGTTGACAAAATGGGATATTTTAGTATCAACTTTGCACTTCTTTGATCAAGTATTATATATTGAAACAAGTAATTTGTTTCTATAAATACATTTTTTTTTAGTAAGTACTATAAATACATTTCAAACAAAAGTTTATTTGATTGAAATAGAAATTTTGCAAATCGATCTAATAATTAGAAAATGAAATACACATGTAATGTTTATTTACATTAGCAATCAAGTTTCATTTATTTATTGTTTTCAAGTGAAGCAAATCAAACAACAGAAAAACAGTATAGATTTATAAATTTAAAATTTAACGTGTCATTCTAAATCATTTGATTAATATAGTGTGAAGAACAGCTGCTAGAATGTCATAAGAGATGTAGTTTCCGTTAAAGGAAACAATGTAATAACATATTGCAGAATATGTTTAATTGTTATTTGCAAAAAGACAAATGATGTAGTAAATAAGCTTACCTCTACTGTAGAGGACATGAGGAAGGCAAAAAGAATAAAAAGGAGTGCTTTACCATTTTATTTTAATTATAATATACATTTGAGCTAATAGTTCTGTAATGATAACAAAAAGGAACTTAAAACAAGGACCGGATGCATTAGATATATCATATGTCAAAACATATAGTACACTTGTTGTAACACACAATCATAATGTGGTAAATGCAGGTGATATGCATTTATGTACAAAACTAATAAGTGATATATAAAACTTACCATATCTCTTATTAATAGTAATTGTTTTTGGCAAAGGATCACTATGGCTATTTATGTATATTATGGCATGGCTAATCCTGAAAACATGGCTAACTTGGATGGACCTTGCCATTTTGCCTAATTGATGGTTAAATTGTGAAAATTTCCATGTCATTGGATGAGCAATAGTCGCCAAGTGTTTGAATCTTTACTTCCTAGATTTTGTTATAAACCTTTGCAGTTTTTTACCCATAGGGTTTTCAATAGTGCTGAGCTAGCCTGAAGCTTGTCTGTTTGTCCGAAAGATTTAAGTCAGGCCCCAATCATTGAACGAGCTTCGGTTGGGCTGAGCTGAGCGCTTGGACATGTTTCTTGGCCCACGATTGAATTTGGTTGAGCTCAAGCTGCGCTTATTTCAGCTCGTATCAAGCCAAGCCCAATCTTACTATGGTGTGGGTAATGTTACTTTGTCTTAAAAGAGATAGAGAAACATGCTTCATTTCCTTCCCAAATCGAATAAAAAAAATCACAGAATGAAAGAGTTCAGCCCCCTTTTCCGATCATGACTCCAATAACATGCAATTTGGTAATCTAGTTTTATAATTGAAAATTGTCTTTTTAATTATGAAATTTTCCATATCTGGAAGGTAAATCTCTTCCCTACTTCTCATCCCACCCCATCTCATCCTATCTCGCCTCACCTTACACCTTTCTCCTCTTGCTTTCTTGTATAAGAGTTTTCCTGGTAATTTTAGGGTTTTTTTCTTTCCCTTTCTTTAGTCTGTTTTCATTGGAGGAAAAATCTGGTTCTAGTTGCAGTTCCCATTACTATTGGAAAATCTCTTGTATATTGTTCCTCTTTTTCCGTTTTCCTTCTGAGATTGAGGCAACCCTAGTTTGGTCTGTACCTTATTCAAGAAAATGTGCCAAATTTGGAACAGTGTGGGGGCTTGCCTCGGCATGGGCTATCTTTGGCCCAGTTCAGTTTGGCTCAAATGACAACCCTTAGGTCATATTTATGTTAATGATTTTTTGTGTCTATTTAGAATTCATAAATGATTTGAATACTTGAAGTGTGTTAATCAACCATATCATCTAAAGCCTACCTAATCTAATTAGATAGTATTACTAAAATGCCTCTTTATCTCAATGATGACAAGGAGTTAAATGTAAATGTTTATGTTTAAGGTATGCAAAACTTAAACCTGCATGTAATTTTAATCCAAGTTTATGCAATTTTTGTTAACATTTTACAGTAATGCTATTAATTGTATTTTGAAGACTGAAGATGTTTTCCAGATCCTGAACTGCTATTTTATGGAACTTATTGAATTTTTTGGGGTAGAAAATTTTAGTATTAGTTTGATTTAGTGTACACTTAGTAGCAAGAGCGGTAATTTGTTATTTTTTCCAAGCCTGGTCCTCGAGTTTTGAGTTTTGTTTTATAGTTATCTTTTTCCGTGTAGAATTTGTGAGCCTGTAAAAGGGTTCTTTTTATTGTTAATGAAGTTTGCTTGTTGCTTTTATGTTTTTCATATTTTTTTTCTTTTGGGTATTTTATGGTTAAGAACTTTATAAAAGGTTCCTCTCCCAATGCCCCTACCTCTTTCTTTTCTTTACCACACAAAAACTTTTAGGCAATTACAGAGTCTAAATTATGTCCTTGTCATCTTTCATACTAGATTGTGTCAATTATACAAAAACCAAATATTTTATGTAGCTTAAAAGAAGTGATGAATTTGAAGGAGATCAAATCGCAGTTGGAGCCTGTTGAAGTACAAGTGGAAGCCTAGATGAAGGTCTCAGATGTCATTAACCTTCTAGATGACAAAGGAGAGAATTTTGAGAATGGACTTTTAGTGATCTATCAGGAAATTTTTCTTTTGGATTTTATTTTAAACTAGTCTATCATGACTAGCCAGATGGTGGTGAATCTGGTGATGTGGTAATGTAAGTTCTTCATTGAATAGTCATAAAGCTCTCAAATGGAGAGTCACTGTAAGGGATGATGAGGTAGAAAGAATGGAAAAGGTAATGCAAGGGAGCAGTACTGTTTGGTTGAGCAGGGAGAACAAAAGGGGTGTCAGTTTACAGTTTGCACTGCTTGGTATGCTGTTAAGGAGGAGAGGAAAGAGAGTCCAATAGATGCTTATTTTTTCATTCTACGCTTCTATATTTGAAATATTTTATTTTAAGGGGCAATAGCAGAGGAGTAGCCCCGGCTCTGACTTGCCTAAATGGAAAAACTCTAAAAGTAGCGCTCTTCTTCTAGCGTTTCCTTTTTGGGTGGATTGACTTTTGGGCACTAGGAGGAATAGATTTCCTTTCAAATTTTCCTATCATTCCTCATTTCTTCTCACCCACCAAAAGAACACATCTCCTTTCCTTACCTTTCTTTTTTCTTCTGCTCCCAGTTTTGCCTTTGATGAAATGATTGATGTCCCAAGTGTGACTGTTCAGACATTGGTAATCAGCCAAAAATCATTGATTTGAAAATTCTTTGATGAGTGTTGAGAGAGATTAATGTTAAGTGAAGTTTCTTCAATGCATGATGGCCTTGACATTGTTCAATGGTCCATACTCAGTTAATATAACCTCGAATCATGATTTTTTTGGGTTTGTATTAGCGTGAAGAGGTGAAATTTGACTGTTTTTGGAAATTTTAATGTAACAATAATCCGGGATGCTTGGAGGGCTACCCCTCTCTGTGTTTGGTGGTGCATTTGGCTCGAGAGGAATCGAAGATACTTCGATGGCAAGGAGAAACCCATTTCTATGCTTAAGTTTTCTATTATTTCTACTCTCTTTTGTTAGGTCTCAGGGAGAGATTATCGTTCTGTTGAGGAGATTGTTATTTTTTTGGCCTCTTTGAAGGCTTGAGGCTCTTTTTGGTTTTTTCATCTTGTTTCCTTGGGTTTCGCTCCCCTTTGAGCACTTTTTTATAAAATTCTTACTTATCAAAAAAAAAACAATAATCAATTTTACTAGTTTGCCAATTTTCATAAAGTTGCATTAAATCAATACATGGTGATACAGATGACTGCAAAACTTGGTAAGAAAATATCTCGAGAAATATATGAAGATAGGATTAGGTCTCACTGGAGAATCGCTGTTTCTCTGAAACATTTTGTATGGCCAATTGAAGAGAAATAAGTCAACAGTTCAGGTTTGTATAATTTACTGAAGTAAATAATATTTGATAAGTAACCTTATATTTCTGTGGGACAGTAGAGGAAAGATTACTTAGGAATGTAGGGGTAGTCAATGTGATGTCAAAAGGTAGATGAGGTAGATGTAAACTGGTTGGTGAGAATCTCCCAACCAACGGATCCAATGCCAAGGGCATCCACAGTTAAAACTTGACCGGCCATGGCTTAATAAAGGAGAAACTAAACAATGTTGTTCGATGTACTAACAATCATGATCATAGCACTTCGCATAAGCTGACTCTTTGGGCTTCCAAATTGTCCTAGAAGTTCCTTAGTTTTGAGTGCGAAATTGGTGACAGCATACTAGTCCTTTCAAGTTGCCAATTTTAAACATGTGATGAAGTTATAGACAGAGAGAAACAGCTTGTAACAGGAGAGAATGGAACAAGAGGATTCATGTGGCTTACCAGTTCCTTTGCCATAAGAACATGGATGATAATGATAATTGGGTGTTAATTTTGATAATTAATTGGGTGTTAATATTTCTGTAAAAAAGATCTTCTACATTACATTGGTTGATGACTGTGATTAGATTTTTTTTGCCGTAAAGTAAGTTTTAGGGTTCTATCTCACATTATTTGATGTTAGGCAGCCAAAAAGGCTAGTATTTTAATAGTTTTTGCTGGACATGCTCCTTTCTTAGCCCATAGCACATCCTAGCATCGCTTCACAAATGCTGAAAATGGGAAACTAGAACCAGTTTGCAGTAAATAAGTTTTTTCTGCTATATTTGTGTTGAAAGACATAAAAATTGAAGAGAGACATTAAACATGAAGAACACTAGGATACACACACAAACTCCAAAGGGCTAAATCACTTTTATTATATTCTCTCTAAATATTGTTTACAATCAGGACCTTCATTTATAGGTGAAAGAATACAAGTGATAAATATGGAAAATACATTGATGGAGGATTTCTAAAATCAATCCCATAAATCACTCCAATCAACATTCTGTCATAGACTCAAATCACTCCTATGATATTCTCCAACAATATGGATGTTAAAGAAAGACATAAATCTTGGGTTTCTCATTCATAGATCGATTTAATTGTTGATAACTGTCAATAGGGGTGACGATATTGTTCTTAGTGTGTAGCTCAGAATTTTGCAGTCCATAAAAATATTGGATGGGTAATCAGAAATTATTACAAACGATAACAATTCTTTGACAATAAAAAGAGCGAAGAAGAGAGTTGGATCACTCCCCTAGAAAGAACCACCTGTTTAGAGAATGCAAAAGATAGGTAAAAGTAGTTGTGATTTTTTATTTTATTTTTTGAAAAATGGACAAAAGGAAAAATCGCCATGATTTGAAAGGACTTCCTAAGGAAGTAACGAGGGCAATTGCTTAGTCTAATGGTAAAAGCTTGGGCTGTCAAGTATGATAACACAATTCCAAGTATGAGGGCACAAATAATGCTTAATGTTAGGTTTGTACCAAGTTTATCCCTCCCAACACCCTCAGTTTATGGTGATGCTTATGATATTTGTGATGTTGTGGTCCGAATTTGGTGTCGGGTCGACGATGGAAAATTTTTGACCCATTTTTTGCTCATGGGTCGTGGTCCCTAATCAGTCTCTGGTAGCCCGATATATAAGGGTGCTTAGGGTTTGGAGTGGTGCAAGAGAGAGAGACTGAAATTCGTACAGAAACAGAGTGAGGGGCTGAAAACTTGTAATCTCCGATTTTACACACAGTGAAAACTTTCGCCGGATCTCAACCGTGGACGTAGGCTGTTGCCGAACCACGTATAAATCTTTTTGTTCTTTGTGTGGTGTGTTTACTTTTCTGTCATGATTCTTGATTTTATCTTAGGTTCGTTCCATTTGTCATAACAATATTCTTCAATAAATATTAAGGTATTTATTAACGTTATTAGATTAATTTGCTCACATAAAAAGCTCATGTGATCTTTGAAGCCCTCATTCCAATGATGCCATTGTTGTTTAATTAAATTTTAAGTTGTGGTTTAGCTTTCAACTTTAAAAGATATATAATACAGCATTTTGAGTAAAATTTATATTAACGTGTAGATTTAGTATTGAGCGTAATTATGAGGCTTTTAAGTGTCCACGATATATAATATTTGTTTTAAAGGATCCCTAAGTCTTGCTGATATTGCTGATATACCTAGAACACCATCATGAACTTAAGATGTTCTAATATTTGTAATGTTATAAAAGTTGGCATTCTCTTTTGAGTTCGAACTCGCTCAGAGACAATTTCTTGAATGCAGGATGTTGAACCTTTTGAACAATCTACAGTGAGTATGGCTGGAGCAGGCTCAGAGTCGAGTGAAATTCAACGTTTTGAGCTTTTAAGGAATGAGCTAATTGAACTTGAAAAACGAGTTCAAAGAAGTGCTGATCAATCTGAAAAGGAAGAGGTATCTCTTAACCATCTCAACCACCTTGTATTTAGAAATTTATCTTTGGTAGATATATATATCTCACACGGGAGGTTCCTTTTCTCTTTCTCATTTTTCTTTTTTCTCTTTCCTTGATAGTAATAATGGAGGTTTTACTAGGGATTAATAACAACCTGGGAGGAAGGAACTTTGATGTTCGTTTCATTATAAAATAATTGGGTTTAATAATTTAAGACAAAAGAATAAAAAAATAAAGAAAGAAAAAAGAATTTAAGAAATATTTTTTGTTTGTGCCTAATATAGAGCACATATAAAATAGAAGTTTTTGTCAATTATGTTTCTCAGCAAGAAGACTGTTTGTAGTACTAATAATTAGACTACAAAAACACCTGTGGTGGAGTTGGCAGGGTGTGGTTAGAGAAATATCTTTTTTTGGAGCCTAAAAACAGATATTGTTTTTTAAAACAATTTTTGGCACTAAAAATATTATTGTCATTTAGTTATGCTGAAACTTAGTGATGGAGAACAAGGCATATAACTTTACCCAAAACCACATATGACCCGCACTTATCATTAGAGAAGGGGAAAAGAGATAGAATTAGGGATTGTAGTAAATTAGGGTTTTATTTATGGTTATGGTTATATTTAGTAATGTTTTAATTTTAAGGATATTTTAGGACTTTATTATCTAGGGTTTTGTTATGATTTTGCCTATATAAAGGCTCCTTTGTAATATGAGAATTCAGATTTGAGAAATTGAATATTATCGTTGAGCTTGCGAACTCCCGTTTTGTTCTTTTCCCTCCTTGTTCTTGTTGTTCTTAACCCCTCCGTCTATCTATCTTCTCACCTCCTTCGACTCGCCTCATCTCATCTTCTCATTCTCATCCCCTTCTTTCTGATTACTATTGGTTACTACTTGTCCTGCGTCACCAAGGCAGTTGAAATTTGTGATATTGTGGCTCGAATTTGGTGCCGGGTCGCAACGACCTGACGACCTGTTGGATAACCTTTGTGTGGAAATTTTTTCGACCCATTTTTTGCTCATGGGTCGTGGACCCTAATCAGTCTCTTGTAGCCCGATATATAAAGGTGCTTAGGGTTCGGAGTGGTGTAGAAGAGAGACTCTGATATTTGTATGGAAACAGAGTGGGGCTAAAAACTTGTATTCTCCAATTTTACACATAGTGAAAACTTTCGCCGGATCCCAACCGTGGACATAGGCTGTTGCTGAATCACGTATAAATCTTTGTATTCTTTGTGTGGTGTGTTTAATTTCTGTCGTGATTCTTGGTTCAACTTGAGTTTGTTGCGTTTGTCATAACAAAATTAGCTAAATACTATTGGAAAAGTTAATGTTCAAAACTTGTTAACAATGTGTGCTGAAGTATCTAAGAAGTATACATGCTGGAAATTTAAAAATATATTTTAAAATTATGAATATGTTTAACAAGTATTAGACACGTATCCGCGAGTATCCAAGGAGTATTGGTATCCGACACTATCCGATACGGGTACGTCGCTCTTGTAGAAGTATCCGTGCTTCCTAAATCATAATAGTGGTCCAGGGTCCTTTATTGGGTCTAGGTATGTAATTGGGTATTTGTATGTGTGATAATTTATAGGTGTAGAATGATCCAAGTAGTCAAGCTTTTATTGTTTCTAATCTTGAAGATAGTGTGATGCAAACCTAGAGGGGTAAAACCTATGTGATTTTAGGTGACATTCCTTAAATATTCTTCTTCTCTTAAAAAACAATGATCATATTTTCTTTTTTTTATTACAATCGGTCCTAATTTATTTTATTTTTCATTCTTAACCCTTATTCAATACTCCCTCTGTCCCAATTTGAGTGTCACTTTTGGGGAGTAGAATTTTTTAAGGAGACATATGGGACATGCATTGTTCCCCTGGAAAGTTACTAACTTGTCCTTTTAAGTTTTGAATATTCAAGTTTGAAATTTTAAATTTCAAGGACATATATGGAAAGATGTAAAATATATTGTTTGAAAAAGGAAAGTGGACAATTATTTTGGGACATCCCAAAAAGGAAAGATTGACGCTTTTTTTGGGACGGAGGGAGTATCCCCAAATCATTTTTCCCATCCTCTTATCTTAATTAATGCTCAAAATTCCCAAATTCTTGTGTCCAAAATTCCTTGCAACGTATTTATAATATCGATCCGTGTCGAATCCACCCCTCCCAGCACCTGTTGTATGCGGGGTGGAATTGACCTTTTAACTTCTCTAAAATCAACTCATGTTGTCTACGACCAAGCAAATTTTTACCCTTCTCAGACCATGAATTTATATATAATATATTATTATTATTATTATTATTATTTAACCTTTTTAAAGCCCTAAATGGCTAAAACTAAAATTATTACATAAGCTTTGGCCACGATTTACAAAATCGTAGCACCATTCTTCTAAGGCCTCCCTCAAGGTGGCCTTCTTTACGTGGACTTCTGTCTTGGGTAGGATTTTGACCCAGGATAATTTGAGGAGGAGAATCAGGTGGTGATTAATAGATGTTATTTGTGTTTGTGTGATGAGGAGACTGTTGATCACCTTCTGATTCATTGTTGCATGGCTAGGGGATGTTGGGATTTGATGATTGGGTTATTTGGGATCCCGTGGGTGATGCCTTGCTCCACTAGAGGGTTGATTGAGGCTTGGAGAGGGTGTTCAGTGGGGACTCTCATCCGGGATGCTTGGAGGGCTACACCTCTTTGTGTTTGGTGGTGTATTTGGCTTGAGAGAAATCGGAGATACTTCAATGGAAAGGAAAAGCCTATCTCTATGATTAAGTTCTCTATTCTTTCCACTCTTTTTTGTTGGATTTCAGGAGGGATTATCAATCTGTTGAGGAGTTGGTTGTTTTTTTGGCCTCTTTGAAGGCTTGAGGCGTTTTGGCCTTGTTCTTTTGTTCTTGGGTCTCGCTCCCCTTTTGAGCGGTTTTTCAATAAAATTTACTTATCAAAAAAAAAAATTCTTCTAATTTGGTAGTGGTCTGTTAGGGTTTGTAAGATGGTTTTTTACACACTTCACCTATGCCAACCAGTCAATTTACAGTACACAACAATGATATGTTCTTTGTTTAACACTTGGACTATTTCTATAATTTTCATTAGTTTTATTTGGTTTTACTGTTAATATATTTATATCTATCTATATGCATATAGAAAACATTCTTTGTTCTGCATCCTGCTTGAATAGATGAAGGAGCACACATGGGAAGTCACAAAGCTGATGTATGGCCACTTGTTGGAAAATGGGGCAAAACTATTAGCAACCTTATTATATTCTTTAGACACCGACCGGCATCGCATGAAGCAAATCTGCTCATCCTATTCATAATGGCTTGGAGAGGCCTTCTGTCTTTACAATTAGCAGCCTTGTATTCTTTAAAATATCTCTTACATCGTTGAATAACTTGCAATCAGCACCCTGTGTAAATTGTGCAAGTGTTGGCAACTTCAGACCCAGTTTGATAGCCTTTAATTCGCGAGCCACCACTTATTTTTTGGAAGCTCTAAAGTTGCAAAAGCACATGAAGTGCATCTATGTGACTTCTTGTAATACAAATTGTTGAAATATATAAATATATTTATATAATTGTGGAGCAAAATCCTCCACCAATCATGGTGATCCGGATAATTTCCTTCCAACTATAAATATTTCTATATAACGGTGGGAGCAAAATCATCAACCAATCACGGTGCCTCCTTTGACTATTGGTAGGGGTGGCAATTAGTGTTGGCGTGTCGTGTTCGTGTCGACACGATTACGGCACGAACACTATTAGGGTTGACACGAACAATTATTAATAGTGTCTAAGACCCTTGACGCGAACACGACACGATTATTACACGTATAACACGACACGACACGCGTAACCTGTTTAATAAATGGGTTTTGACATGACACGAAAAGACACGTTTAAGTCAATGTTGACACGAAAAACGACATGTTTATTCTACACGTTTAGTTAAATGGGTCATTTTTTTACACGAATACAACACGTTTAGTTAATCGGGTTAATCGTGTCATAATCGTGTTTATAGGGTCAAACATGACACGTTTAATTAGCGGATCCATCCGCGTTGACATGATAACGACACGAACACGATTAGCCCAAACCCAAACCCTCTTATCCCGTGTC